TTCAACCTCATCGCCAACTTCCCATCCTCACGGGACCGTCGTCTTCTTATTTCTGACACCATCTGTTCTTTAAAAGAAAAGACATAAATAAGCGAACAAGCAGACCCTCACAGACTTATCCTAATTTGCGTGCTCACGGGAGACCCGGCGTTTTACAACGGGGACGCCGTAAATAAGCAGAGCCCCGGGGCGAAACGTGGCTGTTTGTGCTGAGGAGAGCAGATGTCCTCCGTTCCAGGGCACAGTGCGAGGGGTGTGTTTACGGGAAGCGTCGGTATCCTCCCGGCGGTCACATAGATTTCTCACGCCGTCCTGTTCAAAGGTGCATTTTCTTTACGGAGATCGAATCCACCCTCTCCCCTTACGCCTGGCCGCGTGCGCAGCCTCCCGTAGGTTATTTCAGAACCGATGACAGTTAAGGAGTAAACATAGAAACGTTTCGCCAAAGCGGAAGTTGGGCTGCGTTGCAAACACACGTGGTAGCGTGTGGACTCGATCTCTGATGACGTGCCGTGTGTGCTCGGGGCGATATTAAGATTTTCTTGTTCTTTCTTTCTTTCCCCTGATTAGAGACTTGATTAAGAAACTGCTCGTTGTGGACAGAACAAAGCGGCTGGGAAACATGAAGGTAAGTTTTCCATTCCACGCACAGTAAGGGGGTCTGATGCAAGCCGCTGAGGTTCGACACCAGCGTTGATGTTTATAGACAGGAACCAAATTGCGTGCATATTTAGTTCTTGGCCGCGTTTCAAAGCTGGGTTTCTGGGCACCCAACATCCCCTCATCTCCCCACCCCTCCGCACAAGCCAACGGTGCAACGGCAATTTATAAGTTATCACTCATTATTTTGTTGTATTTTCTAAGCAGCCTTACTGAGAGAGCCTTCACACACTCTACAGTTTACCCACTGAAATTGCGCAGTTGAGTGGCTTTTAGTATTCACGTGGTTACCTGCCACCATCACCATGATTAATTTTAGAACATGTTCATCACCTCCAAAAGGAAACTATACTCTTCATCATCCACTCTAGTATCCTTTCCATCACCTCTTGCTCTGAACAACAACTGATCTTCTCTCTTTCTCTGTAAGTTTCCCCATTGTGGGCTGTCCCCAAAATAGAACTGCACAAAACATGACCTTCTGCACCTGGTTCTTCCACTTTGTGTTTTCTGGGTTCACCCGTGTAGTGACTTCATGCCTTCTTATGGCTGATGACTGTTCCATTAAGAGGCCCCTGCTGTTTACGCAGTCATCCTCTGATGGACCTGTGGGCTGTGCCCACCTTTGGGCTGCTGTGACTAGGTCTGCCCTGAGCACAGGTGCACGCGTTTTTATGGGAAGTAGTGATTATTTTAGAAGACACACATCACGGATGATTTCCACATGGAGGGAAACATAATTAAGGAACTAACTGTTCCGTAAACTGTGCGATGTCTCATACGCGTGTTTCGGTTCTGTTTTGGCATCCCTGAATTTGATAGAATTCATGGATTTATGTTACCTATTTCCAGTCCCGGACATCCTTTGGGGGGCATGAATGTGCAGGGATGTGCATGTTCACTTTGGAAATTGCAGTGTGCAGAGACTCAGGGAAACAGAACGTGAGGTTTCGAGTCACGTAGATCTCTCAGGGCCCTCTGTGTGTGTCTGTAGGAGTTTCTTTATATATTTTATATAGGCAGTGTGTGCGGTGTGTGTATATACACACATACACACTGCATTTTTATATACTTTATATACCATATATACACACATGTGCATAAAGTATATAAAGTGTATATGTAATATATATGTGTGTATCTATATATACACATTGCACTTTTATGTACTTTATAGACTTTATATATATGAAGTGTGTGTGGTGTGTGTATATATACACATACACATTGCATTTTTATATATTTTATACACTATAAATATGTGCATAAAGTATATAAAGTGTATGTATTATATATGTGTATATATACACATTGCATTTTTATATATTTTATATGAAGTATATGGTGTGTGTATATATACACATACATTGCATTTTTATGTACTTTACCATATATATATACACATGTGCATAAGGTATATAAAGGGTATATATAATATATATGTGTGTATCTATATATACACATTGCACCTTTATGTGCTTTATAGACTTTATACATGTGAAGTGTGTGGTGTGGGTATATATACAGATACACATTGCATTTTTATATACTTTATATACCATATATACACACATGTGCATAAAGTATATAATGTGTATGTGTAATATATATGTGTGTATGTATATATACACATTCACTTTTATGTACTTTATAGACTTTATATTAACTGTGTGGTGTGTGTATATATACACATGAACGTTGCATTTTTATATGCTTTATATACTGTGTATACACACATGCATAAAGTATATAAAGTGTATATGTATGTGTGTATGTATATACACACATTGCATTTTTATATGTTTTATATGAAGTGTGTGTGGTATGTATATATTCATACAT